CTCGACATCTCGAACGTGAACCGGACAAGCCAGGAGGAGAGGTTGCTCGCGATCATGGCTCCGTGGCCCTTGATGTTGCACATTGTGTACTAAGAGATGTATACCAACTGGGCTATGGAGAATAATGCGAGAAGCTTCGGTCTGTCACAAGTGAACCTCCACTATCCGCAGACTACTCCTCCCGATAAATCACTCAAGTTCCAGAGCATGAACCCAATGGGAATGAATATGTCCGATTTGAACATCCTAGTGGACATATCCTCTAGGCGGACTGAAAGAATTACTTGGGTGTAGACTGGGAATATCATCGTTACGAGGAAACACAACCATATTGCAAAGAAAGGGAATTCGAGTTTCTTCAGAAGGACCCAGATGGACACTTGGGTGTGGATTGCTGGAGCATGATCTTCTGAGTCGGTGACATCAGACCCGGATTTGTGTGGGGAGATGCGGTGACGGGAAAGTAATAGTAGGAATAGAAGCAGGCAAGAACGTGAAACGAATGTTGCTGTAGGGAAGTATATAAATGGGGATTTGGGTGATGCCGTGCTCCCCTGGGTACCTGGAAACTGAGGTGCCACTAAAACAGATACAATTGGTACGGCATTTTAGTATGCACCTAAGCATATATTGTAGGCTAGGGCTAGGATTCACATACGGGCTATTGCAGGAAGAACACCGGCGACACCTTGGCCACTATATCAAACTTAGAATCAGTTATTAACTTTACACCGGCGCGTTCAAGGGGTAATGAACGTCATGATTGCTTGGGTATATATTCCGCCAAACTTGTTGACAAATGCAAATCTTCCGTTCTAACTCAAACCTGCCCTCCAGCTCGTGCAGAGCACACAGGCCAACAGAACTGTGATGTACTAGGGGGTAGGCAAAAGTCCAGACCACCCCCATTTCAAACATGTGTAGACTAAACTAGATTAGGAAACTTGAGTGATACTGGTGGTACGGTACGGTATCCAGTAGCAGCCCGCCGCACAAACGTCTTGTCACTACGAGTCTCATGCTCGACGCATTACTTGATTTATGCAAATTATATTCCAGCACTTGTGGTCAAAGTGTAATTAATAGCTTGCAGCTTCAACCTGCTACTCTAATTCTCCGTAAGAAGCTCACAGATATACACACCAAACTACGGGGTATGCCACAATAGGGGAGGTTCCATCGTACCATCCATCTCTTCCCATATACAGTAGACAGTATCACCTCGACAGCTTCGTGGTTCTCGTATGATGTTTCCGAGCTAGGTTCTTGGAGCCTGGCGAGCATGTTGAATGGGCCCCCCCCATGATGGGGACAGTTGCTAACCAACCTGTTGATAGTGCAGTTATTCATGCTGAGGAGAGGTGCTGGAAATCCTCCTGGAGGACATGGGAGAGGGACGATATCGATGATGTGTGATGAGGAAGAATGTATTTGTTTTTATTGTAGAAGGGTGATTTCCGACACTGGATACAAGAAGGATATCTGCCAAGAGGCAGTACATAGTCAAGGTAATACCCTACTCAACTCTCAGAGGAAACTCCACATCATACTACTGGTATTCAACTGTAGAATATACATGTGGAAGGCATGCGAATTCCCGCTCTCCGCTATATGAGGGCAGAATGCTGAAAACTCGGCCCAGAAGTGACAGAACGGAAGTGCTGTAATGAGATTAAGATAGACTGCAGGGGCGGATCACTGTACGGTACTAGAGTACCCAGTGTTAAGATACAGGTTAAATTTGAAGTGCACCGATACCGCTCAAAATGGAACCAAAAAATGGCCCGAATACCCAAATATTCCTAGAATAAAGGAACAGCTTTCTTAAGTCTTGTCGCATCTAGCGAAGAGGCGGAGGAAGAGAGGCGAATGCAATGCATACCATATCTCAACCTCTGGCAGCGAATCGCAACGGCAAGATTTGCCTCAAATCCGTAGACAAATTGTCAGCCTGAGCTCTTCCGTGATTCCCTTGAGTTTGTGCTACATAAGCACTGCAGGGTTCAGGATGTCGGTAGAAGGCACATACTGGTGCCAACATCATGCTATACCGCTTACAGGCTTAGCGCTAATCGAGGTCGTAGGTATCATAACCCGACGAAGGCAAACCCTCCAATGCTGGGGATTCCGGGGCAACCAGCATGGCCCAAGTTAGCAACAGCACATAATCCCTTCGTCTGTATTCAGGACCTCACACCCAAGATGAATAGGGCCATAGTCTTGCTACTTGAGGGAAAGATTAATTGACTCCTTGGGAGTCACAAATTCCATTGGCCAGGTCACCATTGAGCAACCGCAGCCATCCTTTCATGAGCCTAGTTTTTGAAGATCAGAGGACAAGTTACGCACTAAAAGGTGGTGAAACTCGGGAACGAACGAAGGTATATTCCAAAAACACTTCACCGCCTTTTCACCCAGTCAACGTAGTTGGCCGTTTTTTCCCGCCGATCCCCCCAGTAGGGGGTTTACGTGCCTAAAGCTCCGAGTCAGAGGGACTCAGGAAAAAAAAGGAAAAAATCCTGGAATAAATATCTACGCTTTATCCTCACCGCAACCGTTTCCAGTTCCCTTCAGTCACGTAACGGAATGACCTCTACGATCCATCAGAACTGGAGTGATCCATTGCAATAGTCGGATGCTTCTTACATTGTCGAACGTCAACGCGAGCTTTCCAACCGTGTGGTACAGTACAGTACTGTGCTGTACAGTAACGCAAGGCTTGATTCTATATTAACTCGACCTAGTGCAACACCCCACCGGGGAAGAACACGCAACACGGTAAAAGAAATGGAAAAAGATGAGTTTTAGCCCCCCCCCCCCAAAAAAAAAAAACTCTCACGCAATAGAGAGTTTGCACAGTGAGACCTTGGTGGTGTTAATGTCAGTTAACAATAAGGCTTGGCCACCTGGCTCTTTTGTCCCACCTGGTCGAGGTGTAAAAACCCGAAAATCGGACCTGGAATTGAGGACCACAAATGCCC